TCTCTTTGTGTGTCTGTCTGTGTCTTTGTGTGTCTGTCTGTGTCTTTGTGTGTCTGTCTGTGTCTTTGTGTGTCTTTGTGTGTCTGTGTCTTTGTGTGTCTGTCTGTGTCTTTGTGTGTCTGTCTGTGTCTTTGTTTGTCTGTCTGTGTCTTTGTGTGTCTGTCTGTGTCTTTGTGTGTCTGTCTGTGTCTTTGTGTGTCTGTCTGTGTCTTTGTGTGTCTGTGTCTTTGTGTGTTTGTGTGTCTGTGTCTTTGTGTGTCTGTGTCTTTGTGTGTCTGTGTCTTTGTGTGTCTGTGTGTGTCTGTGTCTTTGTGTGTCTGTGTGTATGTCTTTGTGTGTCTGTGTGTGTGTATGTCTGTGTGTGTGTGTGAGCGGTGGCACAGCGGTTAGCGCGCTGCGCTACGAACCTGGCGACCCGGGTTCGATTAGCGCTCACGGCCAACACCGGTGACGATGATCTGAACCGGTCATAGGCCTCATCTAGGTCGACTCAGCCTCAAATTAGTACCTGGTGCAATGTGTGAACATCGCTACTAGGGAGACAAAGGTGACCGTTCTGGCCTTCATAGTTGCTCACTAACAGCACATCCAACAGTAGCCGATGTTTAAACACTGTGCACCAGGTACTCATTTGAGGCTGAGTGGACCTAGGGGAGGCCCATGACCGGTTCAGATAATCGTCACCAGTGTTGGCCGTGAGCGCGAATCGAACCCGGGTCGCCGGGTTCGCAGCGCAGCGTAGCGCTAACCACTACACCACCGCTCCCCTCTGCACAACAAAGATCCCCCGTATAGCCTTAACAGACTGTCAGGGCAAGTGCTGTTAGCGAGCACCTATGAAGGCCGGAACGGTAGACGAGGGGGTGGGTGGCCAGCACCACGCCCGACCGCCTTTGTCTCCCCAGTTGCGATGTTTACACACCGCACCAGGTACTCATTTGAGGCTGAGTCGACCTAGGGGAGGCCCAGGACCGGTTCAGAAAATCGTCACCGATGTTGGCCGTGAGCGGGAATCGAACCCGGGTCGCCAGGTTCATAGCACAGCGTAGCGCTAACCGCTACACCACCGCTCCCCTCTACACAGACACCCACACGGGCGACACAAACCACAGACACACCCCCCACGCCCTCCGCCACTTGGCGGACGACGTTAAAGACCCCGCGGCCTCACCCCAGACGAGGAGCTGGCCACCGTGCGCCGGGGGTCACGGCCCAAACTTGCCAAACTCTAAAAATCACTGGGCAGGGATCGCGCTCACGACAGCGGTAGTAGGCGACTGGCGCTGCTCCCCCCCCCCCCCCGGCTCACATCGCTCGCCACTGCACAGAGGGGGCAGCTGCCACTGGGGGTGCCCTTCGAGAGTTCGAGGTGCGCCGCGTTGCCCGGGGTGTTAAAGCGAACGTGACTTTATTTTTATTGTTGTAATATTTATTACATCATTATTATCGATTTAAAGCTTTCGTGACTGCAGGAATTCATCTTCTTGGTTCTTTCGGTAAAGTCACGTAGAAGGGAAGTAATAAAATAATAAAAGCGCTGTCTCCCCGACAGACCTGGTCTTCACCTGAGGACGGCTGCTTGCGTTGTGGCCGAAACGTCGTGAGAATTATTTTATTATGTTTTATTTTTATTATTTTATTACTTCCCTTCTACGTGACTTTACCGAAAGAACCAAGAAGATCATTATTGTCGTTATTATCCTTTCAGGGCAGCGCTATTGACGAATGCGTCAGGTTACTGGCCATCGAGCGGCCGTGACTGTCCGGCGCGAGGGTGAACGGAGAGCCCAGTGCAGGCCCCGCGCCGGGTGAATGATCCATCGAGAGGATCATCCCCCTCTCTCTCTCTCTTTATCTCTCTCTCTTTATCTCGGACGCACGCACGTGTACCCACGCACGTGTACGCACACACACGCACACACACGCACGCACACGCACACGCACGAGTGTGCGCACCATATGTCCAAAAGCCATGATGACACGTGTCATGCACGCGACGCTTCACTCTAACCGCAGACAAAAGGAAAGATCCCTCACCTCCCACATAGCCTGCACAGGCTGTTGGAGCAAGTGCTGTGAGCGAGCAGCACCTATTAAGGCGGTGGGCACGGCACACCGGCATCAGTAGGGCCACGCTGACACCCACCACAGACACACACGCGCACACACAAACACACACACACGCACAAACACACACACACACGCACACACACAAACACACACACAAACGCACACAAACACACACACGCACAAACACACACACACGCACACACACGCGCGCACACAAACACACACACACGCGCACACAAACACACACACACACGCACACACAAACAAACACACACACAAACACACACAACACACACACGCGCGCACACACAAACACACACAAACACACACATGCGCACACCCATACATGCACAATCGTACACACATACATGCACAATCGTGCACACACATACATGCACACAAGACAAAAATCCCCCATATAGCCTGTAACAGACTGTTGGGGCAAGTGCTGTTAGCGAGCACCTATGAAGGCCGGAACGGCACACGAGGTAGTGGGTGGCCAGCACCACGCCCGACCGCCTTTGTCTCCCCAGTGGCGATGTTTACACACCAGGTACTCATTTGAGGCTGAATCGACCTAGGGGAAGCCCAGAACTGGTTCGGATAAACGTCACCGGCATTGGCCGTGAGCGGGAATCGAACTCGAGTCGCCGGGTTCGTAGCGCGGCGCGCTAACCACTACACCACCACTCCCCCACACACTACATGCACACGCGCACGTAAACACACAACACAAAGACACGCGCGCACAAACGCATGGAAACACGCAAAAACGCACACCCACTCGCACACCCACGCGCAGGCGCGCACACACGAGCGCGCAAACACACGCACATACACACAAACACACACGCGAACACTCACGCACACGGTCACACTCACACACACAAACACACACGCGCACACTCACACACACGCGCACACTCACACACACGCGCACACTCACGCGCACTCACAAGTAGATGCACACAAACGCGCGCGTCTAGCCTGGGGCCGGCAATGTGGCAGAAGGCGTCACGTCCATTAAAGTTTGATGTGGAGAGACAATGGCACCCACTCCAGAGGGGCGACGTCTCCCCCACACTCGCTCCCCCTACTCACACTCACCACACACACTCACCACACACACACACTCACCATACAATCACCACACACACACACTCACCACACACACTCACTAACCACCCTCACCACACACACACTCACCATACAATCACCACACACACACACTCACCATACAATCACCACACACACACACACTCACCACACACACTCACCACACACACACACTCACCACACACACTCACTAACCACCCTCACCACACACACACTCACCATACAATCACCACACACACACACTCACCATACAATCACCACACACACACACTCACCACATACACACTCACCACACACACTCGCTCCCCCTACCCATACTCACCATACACACACTCACCACACACTCACCACACACACTCGCTATACACACACTCGCTATACACACACTCACCACACACACTCACCACACACACACTCACTCAACTCACACTCACCACACACTCACCACACACTCACACTCACCACACACACTCTCACCGCACACACACACTCAACACACACACACCACACACACTCACCATACAATCACCAAACACTCACCACCAACACAAACTTACCACACACTCACCACCAACACAAACTCATCACACACACACCACAAACCACACACTCACCACACACACACTCACCACACACACTCACCACCAACACAAACTCATCACACACACACACCACAAACCACACACTCACCATACACACTCGCCACACACACCACGCACCAAATACAACAAACACCCACCGCACACCATACACTTAGCACACCACACACACACCACAAACACCCACACACACAAAAAGACAAATATCCCCCGTATAGCCTTAACAGACTGTAGGGGCAAGTGCTGTTAGCGAGCAGCTATGAAGGCCGGCACGGCACACGAGGGGGTGGGTGGCCAGCACCACGCCCGGCCGCCTTTGTCTCCCCAGTGACGACGTTTACACACCGCACCAGGTACTCATTTGAGGCTGAGTCGACCTAGGGGAGGCCCAGGACCGGTTCAAATAATCGTCACCGGTGTTGGTGGCCATGAGCGGGAATCGAACCCGGGTCGCCGAGTTCGTAGCGCAGCGCGCTAACCACTGCACCACCGCTCCCCACACTCACACGCAAAGATACACACACAAAGACACACACACACAAAGACACACACACACAAAGACACACACACACAAAGACACACACACACAAAGACACACACACACAAAGACACACACAAAGACACACACACACAAAGACACACACAAAGACACACACACACAAAGACACACACACGCAAACACACACACACAAAAACACACACAAAGACACACACACAAAGACACACACACAAAGACACACACACAAAGACACACACACAAAGACACACACACAAAGACACACACACAAAGACACACACACAAAGACACACACAAAGACACACACACAAAGACACACACAAAGACACACACACACAAAGACACACACAAAGACACACACACACACAAAGACAAACACAAAGACACACACAAAGACACACACACACAAAGACACACACAAAGACACACACAAAGACACACACAAAGACACACACACACAAAGACACACACACAAAGACACACACACACACACGCGCCACCCTAACCCAGTGTTAATCTTCTCAACAACAAAATGTTGTTGTCAAAACATTCGTCGCCTCGGCTCGCCTCAGCTCGGCTTCCCCAGTGGAAAAACATCGCCCCCCCCCCGAACCGTGCCGGCCTGGCACGGTTTGCACCGGCGGGTAGGGGGGGGATGGGGGGGGTCGAAGCGGGGGGGGGGGGGGGCTCCGTCTTACCCTCCGTGCCGTCCGAGAAGCAGACCCCGGTGTCGCCGCTCTCCGACGTGACGCTCGCTTGCCGGCTCGCGGGGCCCCCCGTCCACGCCGAGGGAGTCCCCCCGATGCCAACGCCAACGCTGCCGCCCCCCACGCACGGCCCCCAGCTGGGGCCCCCCACCGCGTCCACACTCCAGCCAGAGTCCGGGCTCCCAACTACAGCGAGCGGCGCCGGCGTCATCATCGTCATTATCATCGTCGTCATCATCATCGTCATTATCGTCGTCATTGTCGTCATCGTCATCATCATCGTCATCATCATCGTCATCATCATCGTCATTATCATCGTCATTATCGTCGTCGTCATCATCGTCATCATAATCGTCATCGTCGTCGTCATCGTCGTCATCGTCGTCGTGATCGTCATCATCATCATCGTCATCATCATCGTCATCATCATCGTCATCATCATCGTCACCATCGTCATCACCATCGTCATCGTCATCGTAATCGTCGTCATCATCGGCATCGTCATTCACGTCATCGGGATCATCATCAGGGTCACATTCAGGTGTGTCCGCACAATAACCGCGCGACTGCTGTCATCATTCAATAGTAACATCTTCGTGTAACCCTCATCACCAGTATAATCATCATCATCATCATCACGCTGATTTGTGCTTCAGTCCCCTCTACGCCGCGGGGTCTCAAGGAGCGCTTGATACGTGCCGAGCGCGTCACGTCACGACTCAACGCAGCTCAGCGGGCACCCCCAGTGGCAGCTGTCCCTGTGCGGCGCACAGCGACTCACGAAACCTCGGCTGAGCGTGAACACGAGGCTGCCGCTGCTGCTGCCGCTGCTGCCGCCGCGTGCGATCCCGAACCGGGTTGTTTCATTGCGGTGGCGATTTTTGAACGAATTTCGCCAATTTGGGACCGAGACGCCGAAACGCGACGGGGCAACGTCCGCTGTTGCGGCGATCCCCACCGCAGTAGCCGGCGGTGGTGCCACCGGATTCGTACCGCGCAAGCTCTCCCAACAAGCGGTGAACGCGCTGCAGCCGTGCCACGCCGACACCGTGGTCTCACGCCGTGCCATCGTCACGCAACCGTCGTGCAACCGTCGTGCAACCGTCGTGCAATCGTCATGCAATCGTCATGCAACCGTCGTGCAATCGTCATGCAATCGTCGTGCAATCGTCGTGCAATCGTCATGCAATCCGCATGCAATCGTCATGCGATCGTCGAGACATTCATCGTCGCGGTTCGCACTCGACTGGGTCCGGCAGGCTCTGGTCGATTTGATGTCGTGAAACCGCCCCCCCCCCCCCATCGCGGCCAAACAGAATGGAAGTCCGCGTCACGGCGAAGGGCGATGCGTGTCCGATCGATGTTTCGGCGCGCCCTCGACCCCGCGACCCCGCGAGCCGCACTCGGCAGCTGGATGCGCGGCGAGCGTGCTTGCGACTGCGGCAAGCGTCATCAGGAGGGAGGCCAGGAAAGTCGAGCGCTTGGACACGTGACAGCTTCACCCTTTGCCGCTGCGATGGCGTACGTCATCGCAGCGGCTTTGTCGGTACGTCCTCAGGTCAGACGATGCATCGCACACTAGGCACTACATTTGAGGCTGGGTCGACCTAGGGGAGGCCCAGAACCGGTTCAGATAATCGTCACTGGTGTTGGCCGCGAGCGGGAATCGAACTGCGCCACCGCTCCCACACTCTCTCTCTCTCACAACAAAGACAAAGACCCCCCGTGTAGCCTTAAGAGACTGTAGGGGCAAGTGCTGTTGGCGAGTAGCACCTATGAAGGCCGACACGGCACACGAGTGGCGACGTTTACACACCGCACCAGGTACTCATTCGAGGCTGGGTCGACCTAGGGGAAGCCCAGGACCGGTTCACATAATCGCCACCCCACGTCTCCGTCTCTCTCTTCACGCGCCTACACAGCCACACGAAAGCAGCCTCCATCAGCCAATAAGCGAAGGCGACGTCGGCACGGCCTGCGCCAGGCTAGGTGCACGCGCACTCACCGGTCGTGTTGGCGCGGTGAGCGCTGACCCCCGAACTCTCTGGGTCTTGCCACTCCATGTCTCCGTCGCGAGCCCCCCCAGTCACCGGTGGCCCCCCAAACGAGACTCCGGCTGCCCTGGGGGTCATCGTGGAGACCCCGACTCGCTCCAGGTCCTGCCACTCCATGTCGGTGCCCGCTGGTAGGGGGTTGTCCACCCCTCGTCTGCCCCCGGCTGAGGGTGCCAGCAAAGAAAACGTCGAGAGTAATGAGTTATAATGCAGGACGAAATCCGATGAGCTCTGAAGCTCTTTGTCAAAGATGTCCAGTCGGGGCGGGTCAGAGCGTTGCAACAACACAACAACACGATATGAGGGCAGAGTATGGGAAAGGTAAACACATCATAGTATTAGGTTGTTTACCCTTTCAACTGGCCTTTATACAAGACATCATGTTTGCAATAACCACAACACAAGCAGTCAAAATGCAAACAAAAAACAACTCTGATGATAATAATGATATGCACTGTCCTTGAAGTTGATTCGTCCACACCCGAGACAGCTTTTCTTAGAGCCTAGTCTCCATTGGTGTTGGACCAGATGACACCAAAATGCGTACAACTCAAAAACAGCGCACTATCAGAGTATTGAGAGCTCGGGGTAAGCATTTACACTATGAGACCTCCTTTACCAGTGGCACAATATAATAATAGGTTTTTTTTTGTACCAGTTGAAAGGGTAAAAACCTATTACTATATTTTGCCACTGGTAATGGTCTCATAGTCTAAACACATCACTTAAACAAATACAACTCGATTATTATATTCTGACCAGGTAGAGCCCACTGAGCTAATTTAACGTCTCTGTCGGAAGCGACTTGGCCACAAATGACAGCTCAAGTGGCAGCAAAATCATCTAAAGACGACGACGACGCGACCACCACAACCATCATCTTAGTGGCGTCGGTGTTGGTGGTAACACGCGTGCCTGACAGCAACAGAAGCCTGGGTTCGACTCCCAACTCGGATGCCTTAATTATTTTACACGCTTTTATTTAACTCACTCGGTATGTTGTTGTTGTTGTTGTTGTTGTCATATCCTCAAATCTTGTAACTCTATTTTAACCCACTTCCCAATGTGGTATCGACTGCAAACTTGGTATACTTATGCCAAACTGATGACATTACTATATTATAGCATTAAAAATAAAATAAATTAAAACCATCCTTTTTCTATGTTATGTTTTGGCTTGGGTCTAATTGTCAACGCTCAACTGACGTTGGCTGTAAATCACCACGGCCCCTTACGTTGTGGCAAGCTTCGGGGCCACTTCCTGGAGTCGTGGAGTTCTGCCATTACGAGTTCGGCACATTTCATTAAAGCGTGTTTTTTAAAGAGTATTTTTTTAATATAACTTATACCGTGTGCAGTTTGAACGTTGTTTTCGCTCCCACCCTGCTTCTGCGTGGGCTTCATCGCCCAGCTACTCACACAGGGGGACTGCTACCGGGCAAACTGCACCCCCAATGCTGAAAGACGACCCGCAAATTACAATACGGTTACTGAATTGTCAATCAAGACAAAGATCCCCCGTGTAGCCTCAACAGACTGTTGGGGCAAGCGCTGTCAAGCACCTATCAAGGCCGGTAAGGCACACGAGGGGGTGGGTGGCAAACACCACGCCCGGCCGCCTTTGTCTCCCCAGTGGCGATGTTTACGCACCGCACCAGGTACTCATTTGAGGTTGAGTCGACCTAGAGGATGCCCCAGGCCCGGTTCAGATAATCGTCACCGGTGTTGGCCGTGAGCGGGAATCGAACTCGGGTCGCCGGGTTCGTAGCGCTAACCGCTGCACCACCGCTCCCCACTCGATTTGGATCACAGCAGCAGGAGGAGCAACATCGCTCCACAGCTGCCAAAACGTGGCAGGATCCTCATGACAAAAAAAGTTCCTTGAGACTCAACGAGCCTCTCCGGGGTGAACACGCGTAACAATATACAGAGTTAATTTGAAGCTTTCGTGACTGCAGGAATTATTCTTTGGTTCTTTCGGTAAAGTCGCGTATAAAGATAAAATAATAAATTAAATTAAATACTAGCATACGACGTTTCGTTTGCAACACAAGCGATCATCATCAGGTATAAATTAAATAGCAACACAAATCTAGTATACTTAGAAATGTAATGTAATACAACAGAGAGTCGGATAACATAACAGTCAACACCCTATCTGGTTGATTACGTTCTTCCTGAGAATGCTAAATTTGAGAGAGAGATTAAACACAGAACCAGAAACATAGACAGGCATATAAGCAGACAGATATCACAAAGAATATACAGAGTGTGTGATTTTAGTAAAATAAACAACACACACGAAGCATCACATCGAGTACGGAAGCTCAAATTGACGCGGGGATTCCTGAACAAGACATCCACCACAATCATCGACTCGCCGGCTCAAATCAAAAGTACAAATAACGCCCGAAATCTTGACTTGAAGCGGTCGTCATTGCAGGAATTCAAAACAACGCCCCCGTGCAGCACTGCGTATCGGAATGTGAGCGAGCTCGCTTGGACAACAACAACAACAACAACGAAGACAACAACAACATGTTTAGAACCTTGCGACATCCACAACAGCCGGAGACCATCAGCGCGATAACGGCCACGGACGTAGCCACGGTAACCAAGGCCCGGGTCACGACAACCGATTGATTGATGTCGCGACAGCCGGTTTATTGATGTCGCGACAGCCGGTTGGTGTCGCGACCGAGCGCACGTGGCGCGCACGTGGCGCGACCCGGAAGTAGGGTTGAACGATTAATCGATTTCAAATCGACATCGCAATTTGAAACAATGCGATTCGCAAATCGCAAAGGCTGCGATTTTTTTGTAGCGATTTGAAAAGTCCTATTTATTTTACTCTTAGGTTTTTATCGGTAAAGTCAGGTAGGTAAAAAATAAATAATACAAAAAAATAATAGAAAATAATAGAAATAAAATAATAAATCACGACGTTTCGGAGGCAACACAAGCTTCCGTCTTCAGGTGAAACCGTCACCACAGCAAAATTGCTGTATACTGTTTTTTTTTCTTCGGTAAAGTCACGTAGGTAAAAAGTTAAATTAAATAAATGAAAACAACTAAGTTAAATCACGACGTTTCGGGCGCAACACAAGCGTCCGTCATTAGAATAGTTTTTATTTTTTATTATAAGAACTTTATTTATTTAACTTAACAATTGCTCTATGTTTAATTGTTCTATTTCAATTAAAACATTTTTATAAATCCATGTTGGAAGCATATTCGTATCTTTTAAGTTATCATCCCTGCATTAGAATATATAGAGCAGTTCATATTGTGATGGTACCATGTGGTAATGCTCCATCACGCGTTGTAAATCTATTACACAGTGAATATTGAACTGAAGCTTGACTTTAGAAAATGTAATCGCAAATCAAATCGCTAAATCTGTCAGAAAATCGTTCAACCCGACCCAGTCCCGCGTAGCCAATCAGTTCCGAGCACTTAATCGCCACGAGCCCGTGTTCGATCCACTGCTGGATGAATGCCCCCACCACTGTCCCACCATTCGCCTACTCGCACCGCCCACCGACAATTCTATACCGCCACCTCTCACGACCCGGCGATGTTCACGATCCGATCTCGTCTCACACTCTCTCTCTCTCTGTGTGTTAGGATGTGTTAGGATAACGCACGATCAATTAATTTCCGGTTCCAAACTGTAGCTCACAAGGTCATCAGAATCAGAATATTTATTTATAGACTGTAGGAATCCGTTCTAGATTTGAAGCTTTCGTGGCTGCAAGGAATCATACTCTTAGGTTTCGATTTAAAGCTTTCGTGACTGCAGGGATTCATTTCTTGGTTCTTTCGGTAAAGTCACGTAGAAGGGAAGTAATCAAATAAAAAACATAATAAAATAAATTCTCACGACGTTTCGGCCACAATTTTTTTTACCTAGGACGGCTGCTTGTGTTGTGGCCGAATCGTCGTGAGAATTATTTTATTATGTTTTATTTTTTATTATTTGATTACTTCCCTTCTACGTGACTTTACCGAAAGAACCAAGAAGAACTCTTAGGTTTTTTCGGTAAAGTCACGTAGGTAAACAGTACTCTCCTTTTTGTATTTGGATTGTCAACCAACACGGGGTATAACGACAACAGTGTACACCTATTGTTCTCTTTCAGCCCCCCCCCCCCCAAACACGTTCCATTCATTGGCTACCACATTCAGATAAGCCCCTCCCCCTCTTCCCCTCCCCCTTAACTTGTATATAAGAGCTTGTCTCTTGGAATTTTGCCTCACTTGATACAGTAAATCTGGCTGTGACGGTCCCACCTGATGACGGAGACTTGCGTTGCCTCCGAAACGTCGTGATTTATTATTTTATTTCTATTATTATTTTTACTTTATTTTTAATTTTTACCTACGTGACTTTACCAAAACACCTAAGAGTATGTAGGAATCCGATGAGCTGTAAAGTGCTTGCTCACGAATGCCCAGTCCATCAGCAACAGCAGAAGCGTCCATGGGCAATCCGCTGCTGGACGAAGGCTTCCCAAAGCCGTATCCACCTCTGACGAACCTACAACGATCCTAACAATCCCAGCCAGTCACTGGCGGCACGCGATCGGATTTCCTCGCTCCATCTCCCCCCCACCCCCCAGCGGACGTCCTCCGAGACGCGTTCCGTGGCTTGGCTGCAACTCGGTTCTTGTTATCGACCCTCACACCCCTCGCACCCCTCGCACCCTCGCACCCACCACCCCTCGCCCCCCTCCACCCCTCCCCCCACCACCCCTCGCCCCCCTCCACCCCTCCCCCCCCCCACCACCCCTCGCCCCCCTCGCACCCCTCGTACCCCTCGCCCCCCTCCACCCCTCCCCCCACCACCCCTCGCCCCCCTCCACCCCTCCCCCCACCACCCCTCGCCCCCCTCGCACCCCTCGTACCCCTCGCCCCCCTCCACCCCTCCCCCCACCACCCCTCGCCCCCCTCCACCCCTCCCCCCACCACCCCTCGCCCCCCTCCACCCCACAGTGGTTGTGACCGACACAACGTGGCAATTTTGTGCTGTGTTCATTTGTGCACCTCCAGTGTGGGATGCAGCTAGTGCGGAGCCTGTAGCAGGATGCTATAAAGGGGCCCTAAATAAAAAAAACATACAAATATTAAAACACAATTTTTTTACTTGCATAGTAAAGTGATT